AATGGGAAGCATGATTTTAAAATCCAGTGTTAAGATTGTTAGAGTAGAAAGTGGAAGATCTTACGTGTGACGGTAAAAGCAATTTATATCTAAATCACAGTAACTGTAGGAAGCTCCACCTTTGTCCTCCACCTACCACACCAAGACTTTCCCACAGGGGAGAACAACAAATAGCAAACAGGTTTCGGTCGCTTGGGAAAGTTGGGCAAGTAACGTATCTCCTTAATTCCATTATTCTTAATCATTATAGTCTGCTTCTTTCCTTGATACTGTGTAATTATGGGACATCCCAAAGCTATGAGCTGCCTCTTTTCAATTTGCTCCCTAATAGAAAGAAATGCCATAAGGGATGTTTCTCCAGAAACTGGTGGAGTGATAGCAAGTAGAAATTTACAGACTGTTAGAAGATACGCTGCAGTTCCTGTATTTCCCAAACTCGCAAGAAAAAGTGGATATTGATTCAGGAATGTCCTATCCGTAAATATCAGCTTTAAAATTGGAAACCAGAACTGTAAATATTAAAACTGAGTACTAAGAAAAGAGAGGTCACTTCAGCAATTCGTGGTTTAAACATTAAGAAATCTTGATTTGTGATATAGACCAAGCACTACTGTAACAGAAAGAGCTCTTAGACATAGCCTGTAAGGAGATACTACTCCTTTTTTTTCATAGAGGGAAAATAAATCACATGGTAACCTAAAATATATACTACTATAGATATGAATGTCAAAGTTGGAACATAATTTCAGCCGCAGTATGCAAACTTCAGCACCAACAGATTAGTAATTTATGTATGGATTAGTTTTTTAGAACTTGTTCTCTGTAAGAATAAACACAAGTTTTTTTTCAACAAATTGGAAATAACAACTACATTACTTAGTCTTTCTGTGTAGTAGCCACAGTGTGGTTTTGGGTAGCAACTTTTTTTTAAGATAGATAGGAAACTTTCCTCTCCCAAAAGAAGTTTCATTTATGTACAAATCATGAAAATAAGATATGGAACTCTTCTGGACAACTACAATCTCCTTTGACAGTTGTCTTATCTAGAGCACAGATGTTGCCACTTAACCATGAATGTTGGCTGACCTGCCCAAATCTCAGTGAAAAACAGTTGTAACAAGAAGGTTTCTCTGCAAATGGTTATGCAAACAGGAATCTTCATTTCATGTTCATGCTAAAGTATACCCTCTGCAATGCATTCAAAAGCACTACTATTTTTTTTTTTAAGGCTCAGAAGTACGTGTACTGAAATCACAACTAAATGCTTACTATACTGATGAGGGTATAGATTATACCCAAAACAGTATTAACAACTAAATGAAGATGTAGATTATTCTTTCAGATTTCAAATTACATTGCAAAAAAACCAGGAAACTGGTATTTAGCTCTGTTTTTTTCATTAAGTGAAGCGGGTAACATATTCTATCTACTGTTCTCCTTAGACGCATACACAATGTAATATAATCTTGGGGCAAAAATGGTAGGGAAGGAATAGGCCTGTCTGAAGAGTAGTTCTGCTGCTCAGAAGGGCAGGAAAAGCATGTAAGGCCAAAGGAAAGCTATGGTAGCAGGTCACCAGACGGTGAACACTCATCATAGAGAGATCATCTAAGCCAGTACAATGTGCAACTTATCCATCCTCCTCATAACATTGTCATCTTTGACAATGATGGACTTATGAGTAGTGTGGATTCCTCTTGGCTAGACCATGAAAACAAGTATGTTCTGGTCCTTTGAAGTGTTACATGCAGAATTCCAGTTTACCTTTAAATAGTCACATTATAGCTGTTATAGCTACAACAAGGGGCTGGAAAACGACTGAAGCCAACTGGCATGAAAATCAGTTCGCTACTTCCTTGGGATAATGCAATCTTTTTAGGGAGAGATGTGAGAAAGCTACTGGCCATCTCCTCATTCCTTTATTTTACAGGAATTTGCTTTATGGGTGGGGTTGAATCTTTTTTTCAGAAGAGACATGATTTGGTATTTTCCTAAAGAAAAAAACAAACCCACACCAGTTGCTGAAAGCTTCCAGACTCCTGATAAGAACAGGAGATAAATCTCAAGAGAGCTTAAGAACAAGAATAAGGATTGTAACTTACCCCATTGTGTCTTTTTGTCTATGCATACACACAAATGCATACAAACATAATTAAGGGGTTGCCAAAAGTTCTAATGAATCCCTTTTAAGGTGGCACACACAGAATGGCCATGATAACATGCCTATCTTGTTTTCTTTGTATGGCTGGGATCACAGTTGTTTGATATGTTTTGCAAAAGGTATCCAAGGTCTGACTTACCACTTTTTCAACTCCTCTAGAAGGCTATAACATTAGTTTTAACTTCCACAACTTCACCAACATACATTTGGATGACATTAGGCACTACATATTAACTAAACATTAAAACGATGTTACAAATATGAAACACCTAAGGTACTGAGATTTAAAAGCCTATTGCAAAATGAATCCATGATGATTGGATTTTAATGTACTAATAATTCTTACCCTATTAAAACACAGTGTTGCATCAGTTTTACAGCACAGAATGGCATTATCCTACCCATAATTAAACAGTACTACTGTAACCTTTTTTAAACTCGACTATGCGAGTTTCTGCTAGAGGGTCAGTGCTTTTACATGACAAGTGTATTACAAGGAAAAATGCTATCAATTTATTTCTGAATTTTGATAATTAAAGCCACTATTTATGTATGCTGCATATGTATGCTATGTCATGTTATTTATAAAGGTAGGTCTTTGGAAATCCAGTACAATTGTTTTCTTTCATCATTACAGAAGTCACTTCTTTGTAATTGCAAATGAATGCCGGACAAGAACTATTGTTACAGCATCTCAGAAGAATGTAACTAGATTGTGAGCTAAATATAACTTCTCCTAGTTATCAAGTTTTTATGCTTATAATCAAATCTCCATGAACAATTTTTGCTTTTTCTAAAAAGTATATGGCCAGATAATGCAGCTGTGAGTAAGAAGTTACTGTGGTAACTGAAAATATACATAGTTTGACTACAATATGGCTCATATACATGTAAGTAGGTGTTCATTAACAATGTACAAAGACCATTTAAGAAAATTTTGTCCCAGAGAAAATTCAAATTTGAGCAGTCATAATATTCTGGGTCATGGCTGAAGAAAATCTTCCGTGCTTTACAGAGCACATGCATATATTGTGCCTGGTTCTAAACAAGCTACTGTCCTGTCCTCCTTTCAGTAACTGTTACCATTCATTATGAACTATGCTATTTTGCAGAATCAGAACATGATTTAGAAATATTTGTAAAGAAAATATGTAAAGAAAACAGTTTCAATTTCTAGAAGTCAAGTTCCTTTCTATTCTCACCTCAGAGAAAAGAATTGGGAAAGAAAATAAATAGCTTTCTCTTCCTAGGTAGGAAAAGAAAAGAAATAGGTGGAGCAAATACATCAGAAACTATACTCTTTACAATTTGTGGGATTTTCCTCATGATGTTGCATTCCTATACATGACTTCTGATGGACAAAAGTACAATGTATTTACTGTTTAAGAAAAACACGGGAAGGGATCTTAAATTATATTCCTTCGGATGTGAAGCTAATAATCTATTTCTTGGCAAATTCTGGTGCACTACCCTTACATCAGTTCCTAGTTGTTCCAGCCTAGTAGTACATTAATCTTCTGTCTCTCCTAGACACTAGTGGCTTGTAAAAAATGAGTTCACATTTTGAACAAACATTTCTCTGGCACATTTCTGGCACCTTTCTGGGAATATTCAGAGCCTAGTCACCAAAAAGACATGAATAAAAGTGAATTTTCTCTCTTAAAAAATCACAAGTAATGCTGAAGCCATATGCCAGAGGCTGTAATGCTTTCGTTGCCGGCACAGGCCAAGTTTGCTCTTTATAATTCAAAACGCAACACGGGAAAAAAAAAGGCATGAGAAGTTTGGAGTGCAAATATTCTTTGGTTTACTCATTAAAACAAAAGGACACAGCAAACAGCAAAACCACTGGCAATTAAATAAACAGCAAATTCTTTATATGCCTCCTAACAAAAAGTCTTCAGGTGTTTGAAATGTATGTGTGTAACTTCATGCTTTTAAGTACGTTACAGTGTCTAGAAAAGTCACATTTTTTTATCCCCAAGGCAAGGCAGGAAGAAGATGAGGGAGGAAAAGAAGGGTGAAAGGTAGGGGGGGGGGAAAGAAGGAAAAAAAATTATTCGAGATGCCATTTATCCATTAGTTAAATAGTACATAACACAATGATAAAACTAATTGCTGTTTCATTGTACACAAAGGAAATTGGCTTGAAATTTATTTTCAGATGATTACGTTTTCTGAATTCACATCATCATACACATCAGCCTAGTGTATAAAATATACCAACTCACACCTTTTCAAAAAGAATTAGGACCTATTAGCAGGATTCTAAATATCTTAAGGAATTGCACAGGTAAGTAAGTCACTATGTTTCACCTTAACATAGGCAGAGTTAAAATTATGTACCGCAAGTGTTTTCTAGGGAATACTTTTCCCCAGTTAGGCTATGTTACTGTAGCTTATTTCTCAAATAATCCCCATATAATCAAAGGAAGCAAGCATCTGTGCGGGTCTATAAGGATCTATACTTGGTAGCCTTGCAGACAGGAAGTTTTCAGCACTGAGCTAGAGGTGAACAAGCCCGTTAAGACTACGTGACAGCATCACTGATATTATTTAAAACTGAATGCTTCATAAGGGCAACATTAGGAAGCTGTGATCTGTGCAGAGAGCATAGAAGACTATAAATGAATCAAATATATATTTTACAAATAAGTCAAAGAAATTATAGAGTGTACCATCACCATGATAGCCTGTTACTAATATTACTGGACTCTGATAGTTTAGAAATAATTCTGTAAATGTATGAAAGATTTGGATTGTCTGACAGCATATTATTTTGTTTTGTATATCTATCTTGCAAGACTCTTACTCTACTTGGACCGTTCTGTTTTACTGTCTTTATCCAGCTGTTTCCGTAGGCAAAGCACAGTAAAAAAAGTCATGTGCAGTCTTTCTTCCAGGTGGACTGTGAATAGCAACAGATAGCTCATAATAAGGAATGAAATTAATAAAGATATTTTGGAAACATTTGTCATAATGTAAAAAATTTTTTTTTGCATGCTCCCTTATTCCTTCATAAATCAACAGTGTTCCATCTACAAATAATGCATAGGCAGTCAACTTTAATACAAGTACTTATATGTTCCCCTCATCTAGCATTTTGTTGACACCATCACAAAGTTTCTGCAAATGGAGTTTATAAGGTCCAAAGGGATTGTACAAGGCAGCCAAAAATTCACAATCAGAGAAGTGATCAAACACATTGTTGACACGTCCATGTGACTTTGCAGTTAGGTGACGCTGAATGATTTCATGAAGTAGCTCTCTACAATCATTTAACAGTTTGGACAAAAAATTCCTGTCAAAGGTATAATCCACCTGATGGAAACTGACCACGGTCTTAGCCAGCTGATGAACTTTCTTCTTGAATTTCTCCATCAACGCTATTTCATCTTGATTAAATTGGTTGTTCCTGTAGAGAATTGCCAATTTGAGGACTATTTTAATGAGGTTTTTGATGATCTTCTCTGCTTCCTTTTTATTTTGTGTATATTCCTTTGTCACTCTGTAGAGCTCATCTAAAACATCACTGCTTGTATCATCGATCAAAGTAGTTGCTATTGATTTGGACACCATTTTTCCAAGGATTTTTTTCTGGGCCTGAATGGCCAGACTTTTGGAGTTGAAGACATCTGTGGCCACTGGGGAAAAAAAGAAGTATGCAGTCAATACTTTGTAAAAGACATGCTATGGACAGCAAGTTAAGGAGTATTTCCCTGTCTATCCATTCATGTTAGTCCTACTAACTGCCACAAAAATAATGCAAACTTATGTGTGTAGTTGCAGAAAAACCCATCTTTTCAATCCCTAAAACTCTGTTGTCTTCAGGTTTACATTCTTTTAGATTGTTTTATTTTTGAGAAAACACAAGATGAGATAGAACTTGCTCAAAAATGGTTTAAAATATCTCTCTATATATGGATTGATGGGATTTCAAATTGAGGCAATAAACCTGCCCTATTTGATCAGATGAGTCGTAAGTCTGATCTGATTCTCATATTCATAATGAAATCTGAAACCACGACTATGCCAATGTCGTGACAATTACCACTAATACTCAGTTAGAGATAGTAATTCAGTGAATTGACTATTGTGAAACATTTTCCTGATTAGCATTTTACATGATCAGTGAATTCACATCCCACACATATTATATTTTTACATACATATTTTATATATACAAACACAAAGATCCTTTGTCAGCAAACAATACTGAGATTCTCTGCGTGCAATCTGAAGGTGCTAGTTTTCAGAAGGAAAGCAAGTATAGACTAACACTTCTATGTCCTATACTTAATGCAGAAATAGCCAAAAATGAACAGTCTAGGGATTGCCGTAACACTTGCTAGCATAACGTTATAAAGAAATCCTTCTGTGACCAATGAAGTAGATCCTACAACAGATTCCCACCTCCAAAACTATGCTTGCTTGCACAAATATACGCAATGACTGGTTTGTAATTTCTTCAGACAAATACCCGAAACATTCTTTCAGAGACTTGTTTTGTGAAATGTTACTGCTCACGTTCTGTTGCCAGTGACAATTATTTACAGCACATTCCCTTTGCAGCACCTTCTCCACTAAGTCATACGTGAATTCATATTTCCAGGTTGAATAGTCTGGGGGACAGCTGCCTTTACGCTGCAGCTTTCCTGGAGTCTCAGACAGGCTGAAGGAAAGCTTCATTTGTTTAATTTACTTCACATATGGAAGGTTTGCTTTGCAAACACAGGGCCTCGAAACATTTTTTGTTTTTTTTTTTTTTTTATGAAAACATAAACTCTGCAGATGCCAAACTCTAAGTCCCTGAATTTGGAAAACTGTTTGTATTTGGGCAGCTGGGTGTGTTCAGACGCAGGGTGCCTCTGGGGTTCCAGCAAATAGAGGAACTTGTCCTTTAGGACACACGAGACACAAATCTGTATTTTTTCTTCAACAGTACCTTTGAGAAACTTAGTTACAAGCTTCTTTTTTGTCATCTTGGAAACTTTCAAGCAGGTTTGTTTCTTAACACTTTCAGTGCATACCTGTATTTGTTTTGAAGCATGAAGCATTTGAGCACATCTTTTAAAATCTTTACTACATGAGGGCACTCAAAACCCAAAGAACCCATTGTTAACTATCTTGGGCAAAGCACTCAAGATCACAAGACAGACATGTCTCTCCACCACAACGATACAGGAAGACGTTAAATATGTTAAGCAGTCAATCTGAATTGAAAATATTTGATTCACTTTTTGTGGTTTTAAATTTAAAACTGCAACTGTTACGATTCAAATAAAACTAATCAAAGCATTTCAAAGGGTGGCCAATACTAGAACCCAAGAGCCAGTGCTTTACAAAGATCTACAGATGAAAGATAGCTTTCTTCCTCCAAAACAGGAATATCAATTGTTCTTTCATAACTTTTATTTTTTAAAGCCTTCCAATTTACTAATTGTTCATGATGTCTTCTTTCTGGTACTCCACAAAGATATACAGATGTTCGTACTAATAGCAGTCGCTGTTTCAAAGTATATTCCATAAATTTGCAGAGAAAAACCCCCACAATCAATACATACGTATTTTAAAATGTTCTCTCCCAGGATGCTGTAGGTATTCTCGTAAAATGCTAACTCTATCACACAGAATGCTCCACTGTAACTGAAAAGAAATCCATACAGCCTGCGTCCAGCCAGTCACACACTCAGGTATGGTTCTAACAATTTACACGTAACAACCTGCAACGTATCAATTTCAAGAAGCTGAAAACATGGCAGTTTTCTAAAAATTTTACAGTTTTTCAACAAAAAAACTCTTACATTCTGCAACTTAACATTTGACAAAATGGAGCTTGACGTGTAATTACTATTGCTAAGCAAAACAGGAATTGCTCACTTACAAGAGGTGTTAAAATCTTAATGACATTTCTCTAAAAACCGTCCAAGTTTTGGGACTACCCAGCACAACCTATTTTCTATCTACTTTGCAATACACCAGAAGCCAGCTTCATTTTCCCTGTGTTATTACATGGGTTCTAATGTAATTGTTAAATACGTAAATCTCATACTTCAGTCAATCCAAAAAGGAACTTACAAACTGTTTGTATTTTATAATCAGAATTTTTCCTCATTACCAATGGCTGAAAGACGTAAAATGTATTTTACAGTCAATTGCTTAAATAAAACTGAGTTTAAGCAGTAAGATTATAGAGCTCCTTCAGACCGAACATACATACTTCCTTAAAAAACAGTAAAATTATTACTTACTTGTTCATCAAAAGGACTTGCAATTGTTAATGCTGACAGCAGAAAAAGAGAGAAAATACCCGAGGTGAAGACTGGCCTGAGGGTTATTTACTGTGCTAAATCCAGCGCACACTTTATCACGTGCTTTGAAACACTGTCAGAAGCTATCACAGAGTGAACGTGGGTTTCTCCCCCTCACCGTAACAGCAGCTCTTCTCAGCTACCTTTCTCTCCTGCCTGCAGAGCTTCATTTTGCTTTGGCACCTCAGAATGCAAAAATACATCGCAGTGGTTTCACTTCCTTGAAAAAAGAGCTGAAAGGAAATTGCACCGCTGAGCAAGCAGTGCAACACCAGTAGCCGTTACTGCTAACTGACAACTGGAACAATTAGCAGAAAGGGAGGGAGAAGAAAGGTCCTGTGACTTGAAAGGGCAGGGGACGTGTCAAGAAGAGGTTAAAACATTAACCTGGTATCTGCAAATGCAGATACTCATGTGTGCCGGAGTTGCTTGATGCCAGGGGCGGCCGCCGGCTGCACGCGTCACCAGCCCCCCGTTCCCCGTGTGAGGACAGCCGAGCACCCCCTTCCAAATCTCGGACTACAATTTCAGACGCGAGCACCTAAAAATAACCCACATTTAGACAACTACTTAAAGCAGCCTCATTTTCTTAGGGTTGATTGTGTGTAGTCACCTTTTAAGAGTGATTACAGTAGGTGGCCAGGATGTACAAATCTCTGGCCACACCTACTGTATTTGCAGGTCCCATCCTTGCACATTGAGCTGAAATAGTGCCATTTCTCTGGTGGCCTGCAGTAGGCCCAGAATTTGGGCAGGTAATCCCGCTAATCTTAAGCATCTCACAGACAGTTTTCCCTCATGACTGCTCTTTATGGCTCCTATTTCTTTCCTGTGCAGTTTTACACTTCATTATGTCAAAGTGTGTCATCAAAAAATACCCCTTTGAAATCAATGGGATGTAATTTTCTGTACAATCTATACAAATAAACATGATTATGTGCAGTAGAGGAGAGCAGTCCGAGGGGAAAGGCTCTCAGGAGGATTTCCTGCCTCCGTTACTTTGAAATTCACGGGATCTTAGGGATAATGGCGACATCTGCAAAGTCTTCTAATTTATGATTTAGAGGAGCAAAAAAGTCACTAGAGACTGCCTCCTGTGAAAGTTGGGAGCTTATTAATTATGAAACATCTTAATTTTCACAACCAACAGTATGTGTGTTTAACATCAGTATTTTGTGTGTTAAGCTCAATAAATATTGGACATGTAGCATTCTGGATGTGTTTTCCCAAAAATACTTCACCTTACACATTTTCCTTAAAACTGTGGTGGAAGTATAAACTGTCGGTGAAAATTTAGAGTTGTGGGTTAATTAGCTCTCAGGAGACTGGTATAAAAGTACAGGAAGGCTACTACTTATGGCTGCGATGCTGACTTTTCCCTGCCATGGAAGCTAGTACACCTCCCTCCGTAATGTGGCAAATGCCTATTACCAAATACCCTATTTCTCAACTCTATTTAAAAAAAAAAAAAAAAAAGTATTTGGGGGAAAAAAAAAGTTGAATCAGATTATTTCACTGCCTTAAATCAAAGCAGAATGTTTTTTTCCACAAGATAACAGTTGATGGTAGATTCAATGTCACTTGCAGTTGAGTGTATTCAATCTCATGTACATTGACAATGAATACTTCAGTCACTGAGTATTTTTAAACTTCTTGTAATAAAGAAGGACCAGAAAAAAAGCATCCAGTAAAAACTTCCAGTGAACCACGTTAAATTCCATGGGCAAATCAAGAGTTGAGCTTTCTGACATGAGCTGCGTTTCTAGCATACATACTCGGTATGTTGACACAACGGTCCCAGCAGAAGAGAAAATGTGACTGTGAAGCCATTAATAACAACACTGCTGCGTGAGACCCAGTTCTCATTTTAGTGATTGGCATACTGTATACTGCACTAGTACCTGGTGAGCGCAAGGTCCAAAAATGACGGGGGGTTTTGGGCAAGGCACAAAGAACGCTTACATGGGATTAGGACGAAAGAGACAGCTCCGACTGAGCGCTTCGGGCAGTATTTAAAAGACTCTATCACATAGCTTTGAGAAATGTGGCAACCTGTTTCCTGCCAAGCATCCTGTGTGGACGAGTGCGTTTGCCTCTCTACAGACTGCGGGTGAGAGCGACAGACAAAAGCCCACGCAAGCCCTACGAATCGCATGTTCAGTCAGACTCCTGGCGTGAGAGAGCATCATTTCCCTGGAGGGAGGCTACTTGAAATCAAGCGGGATTGACAGCACTACGCTCTCTGAGTGTATGTGACCGTGAGTCATGCACCTCCAAAATCAGGAGATCACCTAGATATCAAGGGATAAAAAAATTACTTAAGTTTTACTTTT